CAACACTTTCTTGCTTTCAAGTAGTAAACATCAAGCTAACTCTTAGGAATATTGGCTGTGACTTCTTCAGGGACTTTGCAGTGAGAAACAGAGAGCAGTCGTGATGCATTCACAGGTAAGCGAGGCTCTCTTGAAGAAAAACCACCCAGGTAGGGGGTCCAAGGCTTTGAAGCCAAAATTGTATCTAAGGACTAGATACAATCTTCAATGCTTGTAGTAACAACACAGGAAGGGAAGAGAAAAGTTACAAAAACGGAGAAGGAATGAGAGAAGATCCGCTGTGACTCCAGGATCACCTACTGGTAAAAATACAAAAGTAGGGCAATGGTCTGTGTTACATTGTCAATCCCCTCGCTGGCTGAAAGGATCACATCACAGGGCAGACAGGGTCAGCTGCCTGGCATCAAGCTTTCTCTAGTAGAAGAGCATGCGCAGTTCTGTTGCTCTGCTTAAAATAGGTGATATTCCAAGTTTGATTTTAGAAAAATGGGCTACCTCTAAACTCTAATGAATGACTAGGCTTTTTTGTTTGTTTATCGATATATAGCTGTAACTGATCACAAACCCTATGGAAGTTACAAATCTGTTGTCAATTTGAGATTATTAAGAGTGAAGGGGTGGAGTTTAGCCTGTCAATCAGGTCGCAGACTGATGACCTCATTTGGAGGCACTAAGGAGATACATAGCTCGCTGGCGGCAGTGCACACACAATCTGTGAGATATTCCTGCTGACAAGTCACATGGAGGTATGCTAGTGCCCTGAAACTGGAAGAGCCACGTAGGACCCCTGCCAGCGCTGATATGCTTACACCACCCCTGGATCCACAATATTTTCCACCCACTGCTCTGTGATCTTATTGTATGCGGTGTCATTGCATGTGGTTTGTGAGTCTGAAGAGGAATTTATAGATTGGTATTGGACATAAGGGCTAATATCAAACTTATGGACAGAGCTGGATGCTTTCTCAATATACAATTGCTCATAAAGCACTTTCTTATACACATATGACTGTCTGTGAATTTGTTTCTCTAGTTAACTCAGACTAACACAAACCCTAATGGTTATGAACTTGCATTACATATTTTTATACTGCCTAATTATCTTTCTTCCGGTCCGACAAGATGCATTAATCTTTATTTAAAATGTGTTTTCCTCTGTTGCCTTTTGGAGTCTACTTTGTGTAAATGCTACCCTCAACTAATTTCTCCATCATTTTCACTAATTACTCTTCCCTTGAGAATACCAAGTGAGAAAATCCCACTTAAAACAAGATAAAGCTTTTAGTCAACTGGATCTGTTATGGAATGGGCACAGGTAAGCTACACACAACCAAACCCGCTGTCACTGGGCCACTTCTAACTTGTGACCACCCAAGGCTGTAAATCTTTATAGGAACAGAGAAGCGTCACTTGCCCACCCCAACCCCAATAACCTATATACAAAGAATCTTCAACAAGTTTGTGGGGGAAAATGGAATGAAAAGATAATACAATTTTTCCATGAACAATTTCACACCCCTCTGCATCCTTGGAAACCAATTCTAAAAGAATAATAGCTAAATTCTTTTTAGAAAGCAAGTGAACATAAGCAAATCTGAGCAGGAGTTTTTAGTAGGATCCATAAGAAGTAAGGATGATAAGACTATGTCTGACATATTTTGGGCATATTATCAGGAAGGGCCTGAGAATATGGTATCCTTGGCAAAGGATATCACGCTAAAGTAGAAATGATGTAGGAGGTTACTGAAAAAGAGGAAGGTCTTTAAAGAGGTGGACGCGGTGGCTGCAGAAATGGGCTCCAAGGCCAAGATTGTAAGTATGGTGCAGGATTAGGCAATGTTTCATTCTATTGCCCGTTAGTTAGAGACACTCAAGGCACCTAACCACAAACACCATCACCAAAAGATATGACTCCCGGGTGCTACAATGGTTAAGTACTTGATTGCCAATTGGAAGGCTGGAAGTGTGACCCTATTAGTAGCTCCACTGAAGACTTAGAGGCCTGTTCCCCTCAAGATTACAGCTGGCAAACTCTATGGGACAGTTCCACTCTGTCACATTGAGACATTACTAGATCAGTTTGGCAGTGCATAATAGAAGATGGCTACAGTCGGGAGACACTTGATGACCAGGATGCATTTTATGAAATAGGATATTAAGCAGAGTGGAATTTAGTTTACAGTGAACCCTCGCCACTTCGCGCTTCGACTTCCGCGGCTTCACTCTATCGCGGTTTTTGCGTAACAGCACATGCTCTGTCATTACTGCCACTGATTGGCTCATACTGTACATGCTTGATGCCATAAATAATATAATAAATAATAAATGATAATTGTAACGTCCAAAATGTTTTACTGTATTTTCCCTTTTTCGTTTAATAAATTGGGTAATACAAGTGTAATGGTGACTAAAGGGTGTTTTTTCATGTCCTCTATGCTCTAACTACGAAAATATTTGATTTACAAATAAGAAATCCTACTTCGCGGAATTTCATTTATCACGGTAGGGTCTAGAACCGATTAACCGCGATAAACGAGGGTTCACTGTATATTTTTTCCTTCATTTGGAATCACCTTTCACTTTGTACAAAGAAGCCTTGATGGTGTAGAGGTTGTGTTAGGTTGCGGTCCACGAGGTTGGCAGTTTGAAACAGCCAAACACTCCTTGAGAGAAAGGTGGAGCTTTCTGCTCCATAAACAATTACAGTCTCACAAACTCCCGGGGACAGTTCTACCCCGTTGTATGGGCTCGCTGAGTCAGCGTCAATCTGATGGTAATCATTTGTTTTGGGTGTTAGATGCTTGTGATAAAGAGCCCTCCCTCCTCTCATTCAAAATAGCGCATGATCAATGAGGGCACCTGTTCCTTTGGTTTCAGTATCAAGGCTCACAATACTTAGTCAACACACAATGGACCCTTAAACAATGTTGCAGCCCTGGACTGTACTGAACAAAAAAAAGACTTAAGTCCAACTACTGCATGCGATATACCAAAGAAATCCAGAAGCAATAAGGCCAATGGACATATTTCAATAAAAATACCATATATACTCGACTATAAGCTGACACAAATATCAGCTGAGACACCTAACGAGTGTATACTGTAAATAAAAAATAACTCAGTTCAAGTCAAGCACCCTAAGGCATTTTTTAATATTAAATCTAGCAAATATATTGAGAGAGGTATTATAGGGATAACGGTCTTTGCTCTTGCCTCATAATGAAACTGAATGGAAAGAGAAAAGGAAAATAAAGAGAAAAGAGGAGGGATGGCGGGGGTGGGGCAGGACAGTCACACAAAACAGTGAAATGGGAGAAAAACAGTTTCAATGAAGTTGTTCTTGGAATCGGCAGTAAAATCCAGATTTCTAAAGAAGTGGCACACACCTCAAGTGAGTGAGAGGCTGGAGTTTGTTATGAACGAGAATCAATATTTACTTGACAATTTCCATAGAAACGCCACTGTCATTTTCAGCGGCACTTCACTGTCAGTTTCCCAGAGTAAAGCAAGCAAGCACAACGCATGTTCTTACCCCTGGGGGTATAAACAGGATCTCAATTGCACAACGGCCACACATCATCCGGCAAACTCTTGGCAGAGTCTCTCCCACGAGAAGCGATGCTTCTCTAAGGTGCACAGTAGTCACTGGACCGGAGCACATTAACCACGTTCAGTTTTGGATCGCTTCATCACACTCATTCACATCTGCCTAAGAATGTACTCAGAGCCCTGCAGCTTACCATAAAGCCTACCACAAAACTGTAAAAGCTTCACTGTAACAATTTTCCTATCAATTTTCATTTCTGACATAACTTGATAAAAGCCTCACAAATCCTCTCTCAGAGATTCATTATTTTCCACACTAGTAACACTGCACTGAAAAAAGACTTGTACATCTATAGTATAGCATTGATGAAATAAATGTATAGAACATATTTATCAGGCCACACTCTGCACTTTTTATTTCCTGTCCCTACTAGACATTGCACCCTTAGAAACAGCAGCATTTACACCAAAGAGAAATTAATTTTATCATACCTGCCTTATTTAACATAATTAGGTCTTTCTGAATATTTCATATTCTAATTTTTTAATGAGATGCATTGAAAACAGTAAAAATTGGAATTTGACAATTCCACATTTTATATAATTTTTCCTCTTTTTGAGCATAAGTCTTTCTAAGTCTACCAGAATTCTATTCTATAGAGGTGAAAGATTACATAAGCCATAAGACAGGATTAATCTTTCATCTGGTACATTACCATATGATAGGATGATTCAAATTTCTTAGCAAGCTCACTCAAACAGATCCCAAAAAAGATCACTAGGGAGCAGGAAATTTCAAAACAGAAGTCCAGAATCCAATAAAAATTTGTATGAATCACATTCTTTGACATGCACATCACAGTCACAGCTACGGAATGTTCATATTCCTTGTCAATCATTATTTTGCATTTGATCAAATTTACATCTTATTTCCAACGCTGTAGTATGTTATGAATTCCAAAGTTGATTGTTGTTTCCTTGAAATATCAAGATAGGGAAGAACATGTCGATTGTTCACTAAAGCTAAGGTGCAAATAATTCACACATTCTACAATGACGCGGGTGGAATTTAATCTGTTTCTGGAGCCATCTAAGGGTGAGAAGGGACCAACTACAGTCAGAGCTACTTCTGTTTTGATCTGCAAATGCTGTTTTGTTTCTGTTGTGAATATACCTTTTTGATCTTCTCTACGTTCTCAAGGCCTGCTTGCCAACAAAAGCTCGAAACTGCCCAATTATATGCACCGCGGACTATTCCAAATCTACTTATCATCTCACTATTGCTGAATAACGTGGAAACCCCAGGCACCATTACTTCATGGGCACATGGAAGTCTCAAGCAATGACGACCATCCCCAATGGAAACATCAGCAGTAAAACAAAAATGAAACCAACAAAGCAAGCAATAAATACACATAAAAACACGCTTGATCAAGTGATCTTTCAGTATGTACCTTCAGCAGGTCCTTGGAGAAATCACTGCCCTCGTTGACTCCTTGGAGGTTGGCAATGAACTCTTGACAGGTCATCTTCTTTCCAATATTCTGTAGTAGAGGCAAAGACAACATGCCAAGATTAATTTTTAGATGTAGCTACAAAAAGCAAGAACTTATTTGGTTTTCAAGACATGAACGCACTCATATAGACACCCATACATATGTAATACAATTTAGTATGCATAAAATATATGGTTTATCATACAATCACTTTGTGATTAAATATAACTTGCATGATTATGCCAAAGCTTATTTTAACCTTAGAAACGTAAAAAAAGAAATTCATGTTACATTTATGTAAATAATATAGACTGAGGTTTTTGATAATTAAAAAAAAAAAGATAAAAATGACATTTGTGAGCTGACCTCTGCTGTCAAGATCTGTAAAGAAATTGAGGTTGTACTCTACTTTCCAGCTAACAGGTTAGCCTGCCACGGTCCCAAAGAAGCTGGCAGAAAATAAAACCGTTGGGCTTTATTTTATTTACATTACTCAGAAGAAAAGTAGAGAAATACTTTAGATTAACTGCAGGTTTGCATCCAGATTTCTGCAATACCACAATAAAGCAAGTCCCATATATCTTATGATTTCCTGTTGTTTATAAAAGTTATGCTTATACTAATCCATCATTTATTAAATGTAGAATAGTACTCTGAAAAGTTTGGAATATTGTGAAAATTACCAAAACATGACACGGAGACACAAAGTGAGTCCAAGTTGCTGGGAAAATTGGCTGATAGAATTGCTTTGGCTCTTCTGGTGCCTGCTACCCGATTCTGTTGACTCCTCAGGAAATTACAGGCTGATGTGCTTCTTCCATGTGGCCTTGGTGCTTCTCTGCTAGATGGCTGCTTCTTTAACTTCAAACTGTCAAGGCCCTAGACACTATATCTTTTGCCAGCCAGGCGCTATCAGCTTTCTTCACATTTGCTTTTGCACCCAGAGAAATAGTTTTTTTTCAATATTTTTGTTGCATTTTCCTACTAAACCTTTTGAAATCATTCCTTATAAATATAGCTATACTGGTACCTATAAATATAGCTACCGTATATACTTGTGTATAAGCTGAGTTTTTCAGCACATTTTTGATGCAGTTTTGTGGTAATATTAGGTGCATTGGCTGATATTTGGGTATGTACAGTATACGTTCATACTCACATATCCCTTCCTGTATACATATAGCATACATATCTGTAACCATATACATTTTTTGGTTATTACTATTGTAAAATTATATGTTTAACAAAATTGCCATTTATTCTTGTGTACCTCTTGATGTCCTTTATTCTTGCATATCACTTTACCTTGGTCCAGATGTAATGAATTCCCCCTTATTGCGCCATGCCCATCATCAGAATTCATGTGTCTATTACCTAGCATGGGATTCCTAGTGACAATCAACAAATGATGCTTTCTGTATGCAAACTTAATTTTGACTCTTCAAAAGTATGACCATATAACACTTACGTCACCCTGTATAATTTCCTTCTAGATTCATCAGTTACATTTCTCAGACTCGTTATTCTTTGTGGACACTTGATCTTTGTCAGATGTTGTGACTAAAATGTACACCCCTCAAACTCCAGTCCGTGGTTCACCTTTCTCTCTTTTGGCAAAAGACTCTGAGGAATCTGAGGATTTAGGTTTTAGGTGGCCCCAGTTATCAAAATTTACTATCTGTTGTTCAGGTGTTACATCTTTAGTTGTTTTAAAAGTCTATTCTTAAGTTCTTTTCCGGGAACATTATAGTTTGAGCTTTAACACGGAGGTCCTTAATCTTTTTCTGGTTTTTGTGTATGATGTGACATATGGATCTTGGCTCATTTCTCTGCGAGTATCCAGTTTCCACACTATCATTTCATAAGGAGACTGCCTCTTCCTCATTGGATGAGCTTCCTCCATTTGCCAAAAATCCTCTGCCCACAGATGGATGAATAGTCTGGGTTCTCAGTTCTGTCCTATTGGCCTGTGTCGCTGTGCTTGATCTAGGACCAGGTTGGGTTCATTACTGTGGCTGTAGAGTAACCCAGGCTTACAAAGTGTGAGGCCCCCCTCCTCTGGTCTTCAATATTGTTTGTTATTGGGTCTCTTTCCTTTCCATATAAAGCTGGAGAGATTACTTTTTTCCATTTCATTAAAAAATGTTGGCATTTGGATGTGGATTGCTTTATATCTATAGATTGCTTTGATAGTATTGACATTTTTATAACTTAGCTGAACAGGCTCTAGTTTAAGGCAATAAGGAGCTGAAGACAGCAGTTTGAAAAACAGAAAACTAGACAATATGTGCATGGTATGTTTTTCCACTTACATGGGTTGGTCTCCTTGCAGCTTTCCTTGTATAGGTCTTTGATACTTTTGGTTAGATTTACTCCTAGGTCGTTTATCCTTGTGGAGGTTACAGGAAATGGCATTTTCTTGATCCTTTTTGAAGTTCTTGTCACTTTTGTGTGATCGCACGTCACCTGTGCTACTTTTCTGAATCCTCCAATTGGTTTCAGTAACTTTCCCTTGAAGTCTGGGATAGTCTAGGCATAGGATCATGCTCTGGCCAGGGGTGGGGGATGGGTGGGGGGGGTTGAGTTTCACTCTTCGTTTTGTAATTACTACCTCATTCTTGCCTTTTGAATCTGGCTAGGACTTCTAGTTCAATGCTGAATCAGAGTAGTAGGAAAATGAGCGTCCTCTGTCTCATTCCTCTTCTCCATGGGAAGGCTTTCTCTTTGCTGAGGATAATGTCGGCTGTTTTGCATGTACGCTTCAACCTTGTTGAGGGATTTCCATGCTTTTCAACAGAGGGTGTTCGTCAACGCCGTGTGATCCAGAGATTATAAATAATAAAATCCAAGAGTGGAAGAAGGAACTGTATTAAGAGATTAAATTCTAAGCCCCTAGTTTGCAAAAGGCAATGAAGTAACAGTGAAAGCTAAGTATCTATTGGCAGGGTCCTCGTGTGGATAAAGGCTTTTGTGAATCCCTTCTGACCATTGAAGAGCAACGCAGAGTCCATTGAATACGGATTATTACAGAGTAATTGGGTTAACATGTAATTCCTTATCATTTTTTCTCCCTTTTGAATCATTTTAACAATTTGCTAGTGTTATTTTCTGCCTTCTTTTCTATTGAGGTTTTCACCTTTTTTGTTATTGGCATTTTGTTTTCTTTTAAATTTTTGTGGTTTTCTTTACATGAAATCCAGGATAGGTAAAGCTATAGAAATAGTAACTGGATTAATAGTTTCTTGGAGTTAAATCAGGTGTGACTGAGGGGAAATGGGGAGCTAAGGAGTACAAGAATGAAGAAAAAAATTTAAAGAAAATCACAACTTTAAAAAATACGTTTAACTAGTGAATTGCATGTATATAAACTGTAAGTCAGAAAAGCTTTAAACTTTTTAAAGGTATTTGATTTTTTTCAAATGTCATTTCTAAGTTGTGATTTTTTTTCTTTCTTTTATGTAATTTTCTAATTGTGAGCCACCCTTGTGACCCTAGTACAAACCTCACCAGCCATAACGTATTATTTTGTATGCTGTTGGAATCAGGTGGTGTAATTTTGAAAAACTGTATACCTATATTCATAAGGGATGCTAATCCTAGAAAAAAATTGTATGTAATTTGACTTTATTGGTTATTTTATACTAGCTTCATAAAAATGAATTAAGGGAGCATTCTACCCCTCTCTACGTTCTAGAATCGTTGGAGTAGAATCAGGCTCAACTCTTCTCTGAGTGCCTGGGAAAATTCTTCAGTGAAGCCATCTGAGCCGGCGATTTGTCACTGCCAAGGTCTCGTGAGCTATTTAGAAATTCATCTACAAGTTTCATTCTGTGACCAGTTTCCAATTCGTTCCACTGTGGTTCCAAAACGTCTGTGACATGTTTTCAGTTCTTGCTCACTTCGTGAGATGTGGCGACCTAACACCGGGTCTGTCCTGAAGAATGGAGAGCAAAAGAGAAGCTGGTGTGCTGTTGCTGAAAGCGCGTTTGATGACATTTTGTTGGTTTGTGGAGCTTGCCAAGTCTTTTTATCCTAATGGATATTCCGTCCACCTGTTTTCAGGGAGTATTGAAAGCTGGGAATTAAATACAATTTTAGAATTCTTAATATTAAAATATTTGGCAGTTTTTCAAAATGATGATGTCTTATCCTTCTTATTGCTTTCAATTAGATCTTGTTCGGATATGTTAATATGCATTTTGTGCAAAAAATAGAAAAGAAATCCACGCATCGTTTATTTGTGCCCCCCCCCCATGAGGTATTATTGATGAAGTTTGTAAGGCTGTCATACATGCTATGACCTGGATGAACCTTGAAAACCTGCTGATGAGTGAAAAAAGTCAGTCACAAGTAGGACTCCACTGACCTTTATCTAGAACAGTCAAGTGTACAAAGACCAAAGTGGTTGTTGGGGGAAGACAGGAGGGAGGGGAAATGGGGGTTCACTGCTTACAGGTCACTGAGTTCCCATCAGTGTGTTGGGGGGGGGAATAGGAAACAGAGGATGGTGATGGCCGAATATGTTAAATATGATGGTTGCTGATTTCTGCGTGTGAAGAATGATGGAGTGGGAGGTGTTTTTCACACATGTATATCACAATTGCAAGACAGAAGAACTTTGCTTCCTGATGGTACCCATTCAATCTCAGACTCTTGTAGCATCTCACCACAGAGTAAAGATAAAATGAAATGTTGGCCATAGAGAAAACATCTTCAGGACGCCTAAACTTTTTTGTTACATCAAGCTGTACAAATAACTTTGAAATAGTACTAATCAAGCAAGCAAGCACTGCATATTGAGCAAAACGAATGGCCACCATTCACTTAGTATATCTCAAAGAGTCAGAGGTATGTATTCTAGAGAAGCTCACGAGTTGTCAGGGTTCTACACGTTTCTTTTCAAACTGACTCACAAATTTAGAAGAGACAGAGAGAAAAAAAGTAGACCCAAGTTCTTTCCCGTATTCTAAACAACTTCCAATCAGAGCAAGAATGCCTGAAGATTTGAAAAGGCCTCCGGATGCATCACAAGGCACAGAAATGGTCCC